CTACGTACAAATAAATAAATTCTTAAGACAATACACAGATTTCTACTCGTATAACGTTATTTGCCACATAAACGTTGTGAAAGTTGAAATTAAATTGTTAACGAATATAATAATGAAATCCGCGATAATTGCCTACATCATTAACGTGGCCGGCACTATATATGTACTGTCTAATTGCAAACCAATAAAATATTATTGAAGTGTAAACCTGTAATGTTAGCCTATTTCTAAGAAAAAATAAAGCAATAAATAAAATATGACAGGCGTTGCCTCCGTGCTCCCGCTCGGGTTAGCCAATTACAGCGTTGCGCTTCAAGGAAGCTAACCAGTTTCTAAATTCTTCGTATATTTAATTTAGCTTAATTGGTGTGTAGATACGCGACGGCAAGCAGTCGACCGAGAATCTGAGCCTCTTTGTTGGCGAAATCGCGTTTGGAACGGTACCCTCGCGAATCACATCGAACGCATTCTCCTTTGTTATCAAAACTTACGTGGCCATTACTTGGGTAGGAAGCTCGACTTTTTTGTTCTTCGAATATTATCCCAAGGTGAAGTTAATCGAAAGCAAGGAATTTAGTTTTGGGACGATCACCATTGTGACTTAGGTGGCACGGAAGGTAACTTTGAACAAATGGCACCGTTTTCAGGTGAGCGTGTAGAGTTGAATGGAAATTTGGAAAACATTATATAAGTTCTTATAAATGACAGTATTGCGATATAAACAAACGGTGATACATGGGTATAAAGAAATATGAATCAGCATTGATGATTTTCCTCATCAAAATCGAATCATAGAGGTACATCAAGGATATAATCATCGATGATGTCAGTTAGCCTTTGTGATTTTGATTAATAACGTCTTCGCGAATAGAAAGGACACTGGCGTTTGTGGGTGCTCTAACTGTTATGATTTGAATGGTACAGGAAGCAGAGCGCGTGCGCGATAAACTGATGTGGAGATGAGCCGCGTGGGCGCACCCCCGCCGGCTCATTTGTTCGACAATTGGCTACTCAACCGTATGACTCCGACGATACTTGCACAACCGAGACCCGCTCATGCGTACCACAATCTAAACTAAATTAAATAGGTCAAATGTATAACCAATTTAGGGAACGGTTCCGCATGCTCTCGGGATAAGGTCAGAGCGCCGGGGTTATTTATTGGAACTGTCTCACTAAAACATGCTGGCAATAAACATTGTTCACGGATTGTTCTCCGGTATCCGGACAAGGAGAGAGGTGAGGTGTACGGTTACATGTGCGGCGATTGGTAACAGTGTTCTTGGTATGTGTTTCAGCCGCGAACGGAGCAATTCTGCACGTGTGTGGGTATTGCGTTCGGCGTGGGACGGGGCAGTGCATTTTTTGCGGGCGTGAGATGAACGGCAGGTTGTTGACCCCCAACGCTTGTCTCGGCACCGAATTTCGCCAACGGAGCGCATCTTCCATCCAGTTTTTTATATCGAGGTGCATTTTGATCGGATGGAGTACAGTCGCCGTCACAAGTCTTACATGTATCGCCGCCGCGATCTCGGAAACGTCTAACGCCTTCATGTTGTGACACTTCTAACACATTATGTTCATTAGCTTTACATTAAAGTTAAGCTTGACCGATGCGGTGACCTACTCGCGTAACTTTGATCGATATGGTTAAAACGGCTGTGCTGGTGTGCCATTTTAGGGCAAAAGAGAAAGGGAAATTTCTTTTTTTTTAATATTTGAATGTATTTCGGCAAGCATTGTCTGTAGCAACAGCTAGTTGCGTGTGCCTCGCGCTGCACGCATTGTGAGCAGGCGGGGGCCGGCACGAACAAACAGCTGTCCGTCGGTATCATTGGCTGTAGCTAGTTAGACGCTGAAAAAATCGTTCAAAAACAATTAATTAGAACCGTTCCGTGCTCATTCCACGTCTTTCATTCGGGAAGAATGTGTGCTTTATGAATTTATGAAGCGCAATAATCTCGTCGGCTGGCATTGTGTGGCTAAGCGAAGCCCGTCACAGACCAAGATAATGTGTAATATAAATTCAGAACGGTGCTTTCGTTCAAACGCAATATAGGCTAGGCGAGCAGCGGTAAAGTTATTACTAACAGCTAATTACTCATTAGAATTTATGCCCATATCAACAAGCTCTTTGCTAATCTCGTTACATGGGCAATTAAGAGTTAAGAGTTTAATAGATAAAACTAAACGACATTTAAATATGCTTGAAGATCTGCGTATTGTCTCGTCACGTCTCGTCTCGCTTATCATCAAGTAGACTTTTATTTAAACGCTCAGCAGGCAGACTTCGCTATTGATGCGAGCAAATTCAGAAAAACCATTATAAAACTAGTTTGAATAATACGTTTAAGTACGATCTATCAATCTCGGCAAAGTCTTTAATAGACTTTTGAGCTGAAGGTAACAATAAGTTGGCCTTGTGCCGGCCATTGACACTGTTACAACAAATGATTTGCAGGTCTGCATTATTAAGATGATAGGTGGCCATAAAAACGGCTAGGTATTTTAGTGAAACGTGTATAAGAAGCGTATAAACGAGCTTTTAGCGTCACGGTTGATGGCGCGGCGGCTGCAAAAAGCCGCGCACGCGCTTCGTGACCGCGCGAGCGCCGCTGCATGCCCGCTGCATGCAGCAAGGCAGCATGGCAGCATGAACTGCTCTTATCCAAAAAAGTAAAAACGATTCGACTTTGCCTCGTTAAAATATCTATAACACTAGCTTTTGCCCGCGGCTTCACCCGCGTGAAATTTAGTTTGTCACAGATCGTCATAAAATATAGCCTATAATAATATGTTACTCTGGGTTATAAACAATAATACTGTAAAGTTTCATCAAAATCCGTTCAGTAGTTTTTGCGTGAAAGAGTAACAAAATGTTCACATCCACACAACCATACAAACTTTCGCATTTATAATATGTATTAGTAAGATTCACCTGTAACGCCCCTGGGTCTGCGGGTGTCTATGGGCGACGGTAATCAAAGAAAGAAAGAAACATTTATTGCACTTGCACACACTACAATCACTTACCATCAGGTTTATCCGTCTGCTCGTTTGCCTCCTGTCCTGTCACACAAAAAAAAAGATTCAAGTCCCAAAGAATGGTGCATAAATCATACTTCTCGTCACACAGCACTAACCACTTCTCTCATTAGAAGGAAGTAGCTAAATCAATATTTGTTTTTCCAGTTCGTTAACTCCCGTTTCTAACTACTTCTGTGCTCTTTAGTTTTAATTAATTTATTATTATATTCAATTCAGAATCGGAAACATGCTGCCCTCCTTTCGAATCCATGGCTTTTTCAGAACTGGTTTAGTTAAGACTTTAGACGCAAAAAACTACTTTTCTCGTCAATAACACGTTTTCTTCAATATTGCAAATGAGGAAAGAAATAGTTTTCTTAGTAACCCAATCCCATGCAATCCTTAAATTAGTCCATCAAAAAAATCTTAGTGACGTCGTTTATGGACCTCTACATCTACTTTAAAACAGCTCTTGACTTTCATTTGCGTCTCTACCTATTATGGATTCTGATCCATCATTTTAAACTTAGAGATAGAGACGCTATGCATTCATTCCTAATGCTTTCTTCAAAATTATTTAATACATAGTCGAGTAGCCTACTAGTATGAAAAAAAAAAATTACACGCTAGTTGGAGGCCACTAACAACGTCAAGTGCTTGTTTCTTTTTCGTTAACAACCTACTTTGCTGATCCATTATTTCAAAACCGGTCTAAAACAATAGTAATAAAAATGAATTATTAACCTTGCGTGCTAATTTAACTCCTACTTAAAATTCTCTAAGCTGTTTCTAGCTTACTTAATTCAGGCCGATGAATGTCAATGAAAGCTTTGTCATCTGCAGTGCGTTGCATAATAAAAACTTGTGTGCGAACTTTGGTTTGGTATAAATAAGAGTGCCCATTCGGTCATCGGTTCTGGTCGGATACCGGTTTGAGAGGCGAGTTACAGTAGAATCTGTACCTCTGTAGAGTGCATATTGCAGAGTGGCCGCGTGTCCTCGGCGGGTCACGCGCCGCATTTAGGGTTGCCAGGCGTCCGGCTTTAGCCGGACATGTTAGGCTTTTTAGGGACTTGTCCGGCCAAATATTGCCTTGTCCGGCCTGTCCGGCTTTTGTTAGGCTTTTTATTTGGTTGCCGCGCCAGGCAAAAGTCGAGCCACAGAATCATATGAAGCCCACGCATCAGGATGTTGGTTAGCAACCGATGATGATAGTACTCACTCATGAGCTGACACTAATTGCGGCTTTTGTGATTTTGGACCTGGCAACCCTAGCCGCATTCAAACTCGTTTCGCGGCGCACTTTCGCCGCTCGAGCGCTCTTCGGCTGCGCCCGCGCCGCTGTTGCCTGCTCGCTTGCACCCCACCCTCCCCTCGCTCTCTTCGCTCCCCCGCCCTGCCGATCGACCGAACCGCTCCGCAACAGGGGTTATTAAACCGGCTCTTGCAAATTTCGTAACAACTAGATATAAAAATTACAGTATCATTGTTTATTACACATACTTACGCTTGTACCAGTCTAAAATTATAACATTTTATTGCCTATTACGTATTTTACTCCGCAACAACTTAGCAATTTTCTTCCTCTATTCTCTCTACCTTATTCGTATTGCACGTAACATACGACCAGACTAAACCAGTTTATTTACAAAGTCCGCTGCGTCTACGCGCTACAGATTCCTAGATGATGTCATCTAAAAACGGAAAAATTACATTCCCAATGAAAAAACAAAAGCCTCACGTCTTTGCTCAAGAAGTGGAAATAATCGGTGCAACACATTGACCGGCTAAAACTCGACACAATCGACGGGGCGGGCGGAAGTGTGGCAGTGGCGAAAAGCTCGCAACTGCATGAGGAGAAAGGAAGCGGCGCGCCGCGCGGTGTGATAAGGCGGCCGGCTGGCGTCAGACGCGGGGCGCGGGCGCGGGGCGGCGCGGGGCGCGGGGTGCGCGCGCAGCCAGCCCCCGCGCCGCGCCACTCGCCTCCCGTCAGTCGCCCGCCGACTCCGCTTGAGCTTGTGTGACTCGCGCCGCTCCGTGCACCGCACACTCGTGCCCCGATCACGACGCGTGCCGCCCCGCTGTGGCCGCGAACGCGACCTCTACGCTACCGGCGAAACGTTTCTCCTAACTTACGTGCAACTTGCTATGTTATAACTTTCGGACTGTTACAACCCCTTACCCGGCTTGTTTACCCCTCATCATGTAAGTGTTACAATTCTATTTAGCGACTTGTCGAATTCGGAACTCGCGTCGAAGTGTTCGTGAAAGTTTGTGAATTAAAAAAAGAGAACTGGTGCATTTTAGCGTGTCACGTATTTAGTTTAGTGGTCGTTGTTTGTGGAAGGAGTTATATCGCCGACGATTTCCGAAATTCGACGGTAAAAGTTTCGACGATAGGGGCGAGTGGTTTGTTTTAACTGGTGCCGGGCCCCTCGCAGGCCCAGGTGCCGCAGTGTCCGTAGGCCCCAGCCATGCCATCTGCTACTCCGACAGTGATAAGCACACGGGCGATACGAGCTTTCATCGATATTGCCTATAATGTAAAAGTTGCTGCTAAGTAGAACTCTTCCCTAATCCCCTGGCGAAACTTTCCTTCCTCATTACTCAACTCTGTCTTATATTGCGTTCGTAGTTTGTTGTCTCAGCAATATTTCCGACTCATCTAAGAGTTGATTTTACTAGAGCTCTGTAGCAGAATATAAAAATTTGAGTTTGTCTTCCCAACATTTTCATTTTGTGTCGCCAGTGTCTTTCTTGCTGTTTTTAGGCTAATTACTTAACTAGTCTTACTTACTTCGTTTTCTTGTCTCAAATTGTAGCTTCAGCTGAGTTTTTGTCAGTAGAAAGTTCTAATTTCTTACAGATTTGGGCTAGCGCCTTTAACAAAATTCGCTTAATCCTTCTTCTGCTTACAACTTAATGATAAACTTTTAAAACATTACGGTCGACTTAAAAACTGTTAAAACTACAGTCAGTTCCCCTTGTAAGTACCTACTGTAAAATAGTCTATAATATTAAATTAACTTCTACGTAAATCACACGATTCACCACGAAGTTGGTAAAAACTTGCATTGGCTAGATAAAAACTATCTGAATGTTTTTAACACTTAATTACCACGTGCGGCTCACAATCGCAAAAATTGTGCAAGTTTATCAAATTGTTATTCACTCGGTAAACTTGCGAGTGATGTCATCATCATTACAAGTGATGATGATGGAGTCTGGTCTGCGTAATTACTAATGCTCTATGGCCGTGATACATTAAGTCAAATTAACGTCCTGCTAAAATAAATCCAGATTTTGTCCGTCGCATTATTAACTTTCAAATATTCAGTCTGTAAATCTGTCCACCAAATGTTTTGACGTTGTAGAAGTCTGAAATCGCGTGTTATTTTTAAAACATGTTTTAACTCTAGTCAAGGGACTAAGGTCGACAATGCTGGCACAAAAATGCTGGGCTCAAAATGTCTGCAAGGGTGGCAGCTGGCTCACTACCTGCTCCGACCTAACAATACGGCTATTGACAATAGGAAATACGCTTCATGTTATTATTATTACAAGATTTTTGCCGTACGACCAAACCTAATTTCGGCTTGTAATGTTTTTGACTTAAACTTGTTCAAAGTTTTAACTGTATTGTCAACTTTACTAAGAAATAATGTAAAGTTTAACAGTCATACTTTTTTTTCGGTAGATTGCATCCGCTCAATTTATAAACTTTGTAAACTCGCTTGAAATTGTTAAATTAATTATAGGTAGTAGGTAGGTACGGTGCCGGCAATACTTGCATACCGATTTAATATAATTGCTAACTGTACTTAATATTAAATTATAAATATCAAGTTTCTTGCAATATTTTAAGTGTTAGTAGACTTGATAAACATAAAAATGACCAGTTTTGCACTGTCTAAAATATACTTGTACCTACAAACAAGTAATAGGTAGGTACCTGTTAATTTATGTTCTTCAGAAAAACGACACTAATTATTCTGTCGAACATTTAATTTTGTCGCTAACGTAAAATTTTACATAAAAGCCTATTCATTATTAATGCAAATAGAAAATATGTAGGTATTAACTTGTGGTGATCCATACACACACATTGTTTTAAACTTTCATGGTTATTCCGTGGCCGTGATCATGGCGCTTGCAACAGTGCCGAAATATCGGAAATTCGAAATTAAGATGTAGTAGCAATCCCGTCAATAATTATTATTCCATGCACATTACTTTATTTATATTTCATGTAATACTGTCGCATGTCGTCACACATGTTTTTCTTGCAAAATCGCACCTATTTTTACTGTAGATAGAGCTACAGTGTTTATCTTTATATGCCGTCATCTGTACAAGCAGAAGAGGTAAATTTAATTTAAACTGTGTGGATACACGGAAACGGACCTAATGTTAATTTTCCTCATTTGAATTAGCTGGATGCTTCACAATTAGTACCTACATAGTTCAAAAGTCATCTAAAATACAAGTTTATGAAGTTTATAGAAAAAGCTCTTGCCCGTGGCTTCACCCGCGTGAAATTTCGTTTGTCACAGATCGTCATAAATTATAGCCTCTTTAAATGTTATTCTGGGTTATAAACAATAATACTGTAAAGTTTCATCAAAATCCGTTCAGCAGTTCTTGCGTGAAAGAGTGACAAACATCTAGACATCCTAACTTTCGCATATATTAGTAGGAAGATGTTCCTAATTAATATTGAAAAACATTATATTCAAGAAATAGTCGTAGAACAGATTAAATAGGGATCCGTTTATAAAGTATAAAACCAAAAATAATAGTTAAGACTGAAGCAAAATAGTTTCTTTAAATAAATTATAATTAACGATTAGCAGATAGAACAGAATACATTGCTTGAAGTTAGTGGCTGATTCATTAAAAATACGAGTAGGTTAGTCGTTTATAGAGAACTTTACGAATTATTAAAATGTTGATGAATGTAGGAGTAGGCAAGACTTCATTTTCGTAAAAACGTTTACGTGAAATGCACTGAAATCGTAAAAATTTTCGTGCTATTATCAAAATTATCTTATCAGTGAATGAAAATTAAATGGATGAGACGCAGCTATCAAGTCGCTTTCAGATTATGGCACCAAATTAATCATTGATAAGCCTTGGCGTCTACAAATATTCCATGTAGGTACCTACGAGTACATTTTATATTTGGGGCCTTTAAAAACATTTCAGGCAAAAAAGGCAAGAAGATAAAAGCCCAAAATGCCATAAACGGCATGGAATAAGAAGCAAAATCGTCCATATTTCCGTCTGTTCCGCAAAGTTAGCACAATGCGGTTTATAATGTCAACATTTCTGTGCCTCCGGCGGCGCCATATTCAGTATTGTATTTTTGTACGTTTTGTCGATGCGATCAGTTTAATGTCGGGGCTCCCTGCCATGTTCGATAAGGCGTGCACATTAACGAGCGCTGCAGCGATAGCGGCGGAATCGTGTAATTTGCGCCTCGTAAATTTAAGCCGTCGCAAATTTTTCGCCTCTCCTGCTAATTACCAGTCCACAGCGTCCCCTGAGACTGCTAAATGCGCCTCGCGCATGTCCCGAATGCAAGAGTGCCACGACTTGGCCCGCCACATACACAGAACAATGGCCTTTGTTTTGGGCATGGCGCTGACCTACACGCAATGTCATCGCGTTAACTTTTTTATTTTAATGGTATCGACCATGGTCATTGTTTTGTAGTAACTTTATTAACTACGAGACGCATTGTTTTATTTCATAACACTAGCCCTTTGTTTCGTCTCATTTACAGACTCAGTTTTTTTGCCGCTAAATCAATTTCGACACATCGAAAATATTTCTATTAAAGGAAAATATTCTAATAGGTATGTAAATAATATTATGGAGTACCTTCCTAGAATGTTTGAATATCATTTTCCCTAAGGCCAGTGAGTCAAGTATCGCCCCGTGACCAACCAATGTAGAGGCGCGCGTAGAATAACAAACGGTGACATCACTTCGCGTCTGCTAACTCCGCATGCGAAATGAAACGCATAAATGTTCAATTTTCAGCCATCACCCAAGATTTATGACTGACGATGCGCCGCCGGTAGCTATCTAAAATGTGTCCCTGAACGCAAACAAATTACAAACATGACTCAGATCGATAGATATTCGCCGCTTGATTTACCGTCTCTGGATGTTTTAGGGTATTAGAATCATAACATTTATGACTGCAGCACTTTGATACTTTTAAAACGAAATAAACTTGGGGAATTCGCTGGAAATCAAACCAGTCTTCGTCTAATAGAGCCAGCATTTTGCTACAGTTTGAACGTGACCAGTTTTTTGTATTCGATTGGTTTTGCTCGAATCGACACGTACCTATCAGTGACAGGGTATTGTATTGCGTTGATTGACTGCACTGGATCACTTTAGAGTTTCAATGAAGCGTGGCGAAGGTGAACGTGGTGGTAGTTCTGCGTCGTGGCTGGCTGCAGCGGAGCGCGACCCAAGGTCTTCCTGGCTCGCGTCTACTCGCTTTCCATCTGCCTCCATTGTGCGGTGACCTTGCCGCTCCAGCACTTTTTATCATCGCCCACCTCGCCGCTCTGTTTTATTACCGCAATCTCCGGCAGCGATAAGCCTGGTCAGCACTGATAACGAAAGAGGACAAGCTCGACCGCCGCTCATTTTAGCGTCAACTGAACGCTATTTATCACTGTAATTTGTTAGACTACACGCCAACTTGTTAGCTGAAGTACTACTGTTTATTTGAATCCCCAAATTAATTGCTGTGTTACCGAAACAAAGGCTTGTTGAGGTGAGAATTATTGAGTGTTCCAATTTTGAATGTCGATTGTTGCTCAATTCGGCTAAAGCAAATGTCGAATTATGAAGTGACAGGCAAATGATCGGTGAATGCAACTCGAGGTGCTACACCGCCTCCTTTCCAAGTAACAGATGCATGACCTTACCCCGATTTCAGTCTCAGTAAATTCTATCGGATATTGCAAATAAGCCTTCAACTACAATTAACCTTTCAGTTTACACCATTTTAAATGTAACTTATTAATGGCAATGCCAGATTTTGTATGGAAAGTGGCGTCTTTTTTTTTTCGCGCGGCCATCGACCAAACTTTATTTTTTAATTACAAAATAGTGTTATAAACCAAACTTACTATGGCATGTATACCTCTAAACTCAGTCTGAACTGAGTTACGAGCATTAGAAGTTTGATGATTTTCATACTAGATTTGCTTTTTGTGCGCAAGTTTTGTAAGAAATTGCAACAAAATATTGCGCTATTTTTTTATTGCGCTGATTCTGCTCGATACTGGAGCCTTTAATGGATGGTGTTGTTTGTTTACACATACAATGTCACTATTTTGTTGCAATTTCTTACAAAACTTTGCGCGCAAAAAGCAAATCTAGTATGAAAATCATCAAACTTCTAATGCTCGTAACTCAGTTCAGACTGAGTTTAGAGGTATACATGTCATAGTAAGTTTGGTTTATTACACTATTTTGTAATCAAAAAACAAAGTTTGGTCGATGGCCGCGCGAAAAAAAAAGACGCCAATTTCCGGCATTGTCTTTTGAACGGTTAGCGCAAAGTAATTTCCACTTGAAAGGTTACAATCGTATGAAATGTTAAGTGTCTATAATATAAAAATCAGAAGTTATTTATGTTCTAATGGTAGCCTTTAAAGTTCAAATGTAGTTATGTAATTCGAATCATAAGTGCGGTTGAGTGAAATTATTAAGTTACGTGATTAACAGCTCTACAATTGTACAATTCTATCATATAAATTATATCATAGGTAAGCTCATCGCATTCTGATTGTCTTGATAGCTTAGAGGTAAAAGCGCCCTCCTCACCGGTGGGAGACCCAGGTTCGAGTCCCGGTCAAGACCGTGGATGCTGACGGGCCTACCTACAGATCATGCATTTATAAACAATTTATCCACAATAATTAATGGTGCTGTTTTCCTACTTTTAATGCACTCAGCCGCCCTTCCCAGGGGTATCAGTCGAATTGACATGATAAATTTTTCGATGGTAACTCGATCGAATCGGCGATCTCACAAAGGCCCGCGCTCAACTGTTTTTCTGTCCCCCTCCTCCCCACTTTCACCCCCGACCGCTCTCACGAGATTCTTATTTAGATTCGCTTCCGTCTGATTGCTCTTGGTAATCTTTTCACTTGGTTATTGAATGTCTTGCCCGTGCGTGTCGAGCTCTGAAGGAACCGAGTTGTCGAAGCTCCCATGAAAGGAATAACTCCTTTTGAACCAACCATTCTCGATTTCTCGTATAATGCTCCAAATAAAACGATGTCCATTTGTTTTGTGCCAGCTCACTGATCATTTTTCTGTCTGTCTATAACCTTTTTTATTGCGATGGTTTCTGATTGAAATGACTTTCAATCTATTTAAGTGCATAATAGTATTGTTTACGGTCAAGCTTGTTAGACTGATCAAGTTAAATAATACATTAAAGAGTTCAGTAGTTTCCAATGTCACTTAAAATGTTATTGATTCTTGTTTAACTCTCCTTTTATATCAATATGTAGAGCTTACAGAAACTAACCAAAACTTCCTTCATTGCATTCTGCGATGCTATTAACTTTGAAAGTTTGCTTGCAACAATAATGTAATGTCAGTCTCCAAAATAATCTGGTAACACTTACCTAATTTCAAACAAGTAGCAACAGTCTATCTTTGAGGTCGTCTTAAACAAAAACAAAAATGCTCTTCAATCTTATCACGTATTTTTAAACGGTTGCTACTGCTCCAAATCACAATTAGTCCAATTTCACGGCAGGTGCCGACAGCCGCTGTAATCTGTTCTTGCTGTATCATTGATTACATAAATGTCATCTCCCGCAGACTGTTGTAAAAAAATTGGAACGAAAACTAGTCGTTGTTTTCCACTCGTAGCAATGACGTCTGAAACCGAGGGGCACTCCGCCGGCCGCGATAAAAACACCGTTGCATCCACGTCGAAAATAAAATTTAAAGATTTATGCACGATGGTGAGCGCGACGTTGCGTTGCCGCACACCGGGCTATTTTCAACCGAGTTATGCTTTAAATAGCGCATTACGATAGGATTTGGTTTCACGAGTTTTTCCCTGTTGGCCCCAGACTGCCACGTTTGAACCGGCCCACACAAAGAATTCTTCCGCAAGATGAACTCAACACTTATTGGGTGAAGTGGATCACGTTTGATACCGTTTCTCGATTATTTGTTTTCAAAGCCAGGCTTGTTAGGGGTGTTATTGTTGTTGTTGTGTTATGATTTATCGTTTGCTATAAATATAACATCTTTCCATCGGTTATTGGATTTATTACTTCAAAGTATTTTGTCTTCGTCTGTTTCGGGTGTAGACCGACTCTGTTATGGTTAGGTAGGGTAATTGCGCTGGTTTTCCGTCCAGCTCCTGTTTTNTACGTGGCTGGTTGATATGAATATTTCACGTAATAATTATACGCGAGATACGTCAAGTGTCATACGTGCTTAAGATAAACACCAGCATTAGTTTACTTAACAATTAGTATACCCGTGCTGGCGACTAAAAAATAACAATACAAATTATCTTTGCATTCTCTGGTTGTCGTTAAGTGATGCATGCCACGTCAAACAAAGGCTTTACCTTAGATTGTGGAATCATACAGTCAAGTTCATTCTTTTCACATCAACCAAAATATGTATACAGTTAATTTGTATTTCTAGTTAACTAAGATAACAGGGCAGCAGGTTCGAGGCGAGGATCTCCATAAAAGGTATCTGAACTGCCAGCATCTGATTTGAAAGAGATAACCGCTAATTTTCTTGCGCACCCTATCATAGTTTACGCTACATTCTCGCTGGCAAATAACAAACGGGAGCGAAACTGAACCTAATGCCTTCAATCTGCTGCCTCTTGCGGGCCGCGAGCCGCCGCGCGCTTGCTAACCCGGTAGCCGCTTAAGCTTGGCTCCGGGGTGACCGCCCGGAGAGTAACCAGTGTGTTTTGTTGTTCGCAGAGTTGAGCCCCGCACCGCACCGGCTTGCTCGCTGACCGCCGAGCCGCTAATCTCGCTTTTTCCGCGACCCACCGTCGCCGCCCAGACCCGCACCGACCGCCGCCATGCTCGCGCACCAAGCACCGCTCGCCCTCTACTAAACTCAACCGTCTACATCGACAAGAACGCGTGTGATAATAATAATTTAATACTTGCCTAAATAAGCTTGCAACGTCGGTGTCTTTAATTCTAACTTAATTGTAAGCTAAAATTAATCATATTGTAAGAAATCGTCGTATCGCGCGAAAAGGAGCGGTGCCGCGTTTACTTGCGCGTGTGTAGTAGTGTGTGGTAGTGAAGGGTGCGCGTACGCTGCCAGTGGCCGCAGCATCACGTGACCTGCCTGTGAGGAGTGCATGCCCAGAGCGCGCGGGCGCTCGCCCCACGCGGCCTATGCGCCGCACTCGCTCTGCGTAACTGCGCGCGAACCTACCCCCCTCGACTACAGTGCCAACGATGGCCACAATGGTGAACATGAATAGCCTACTGAACGGCAAGGACTCTCGCTGGCTGCAGCTCGAAGTGTGCCGCGAATTCCAACGGAATAAGTGCTCGCGACCAGACACCGAATGCAAGTTCGCTCATCCCCCGGCCAACGTCGAGGTGCAAAATGGAAGAGTCACCGCCTGCTACGACAGCATCAAGGTGAGTTTCTTACTTTTATTTCATTTCTTTTCAGACACTAGGTTATTTCAATCTTACTTGCGTGAAAGAAATCAACAGCAAGCACTTGAATCTATTTGAAAAAGTACTTATTCTGTTACAATTTTCCGGGTGAACAAGAAACAACCCCTCGAGGCGACATTTCGCCGCCGCCATTCCGCTCGCCGACCTCAATCCCAAGGCTAGCTTGGAATTGGTGACGTCACCCAAACCGCCGTCTACTATGTATGGGAGTTGGCTGGCGTCGTGCTAACATAATGAGCAGGACGATGACTCGCAGCTTCGACTTGTTGTTGTACTTCTGTTCTCATTTTTGTTGATAGAGTATCCAGTTCTGAGTCTGACATAAATAAGCTTTCCGGAGCTCGTAATTTATTCCAAAGTATTGGCCATCAGCCTATTTCTTTCACATTATCTTAAATTATACATTCTTGTTTCCGTTATAGCATCTGTTTCCAAATAAATTTAATTTCCGTCGTCGGTTATACTATTTAGGTATTTTCTTATGCAGGCAGTACATAACATTTGAACAGTTGTGATCGCAAACAGGCAAAAATCCAAGTCAAATATGATGGTCAGTGTACACAAGCGCATAATTTGTATAGGTGCTGTTTGTTAGCAGTGAAGCAAAATAATGTGATAACATGAAGTCGTTTCGGACGAACGGGGAACATACGATACGATTAAAATTAAAACTGGTATTTTGACCGCGCACTCCGTGCCCAACGACTTATCACGATCCGCGTCGATTGGTTCGCAAACCAACCATATCAACCGAACAACATCCATAACAAAAAACACACTAATTAGGTACATCCCATGTTAATCCAACCAAACTGTAAAACTCAACCACTTCACATAATTCCTTCTAAGAATTACAGAATATGACAAATCGTTCCCTAAACAAAGAAATTGAGATAAATAAAAGGCACTTTCTCATTCCTTAATATTTCCCTCAGTATTTTCCTTTGATGCTCGGCTGAATAACGCGATCAAGAGATAAAACGCACTGAGATCGGGCCCGTGCCCGTTCGCTCGGCAAAGATTTCCACGCGGCCCTCTCCCACCGCTATTGAATACATCGCCAGTGGCTCTAACGTTACCTCTGCCGCTGTCGACGGCGACTCCGTTTCTCTGCTGTGGGCGGCGGATGACACATGCCCGTCCCGATGACTGTCGAAACTAGTATCGCATATATTTTTAACAACTCCCACGGACCGCCGGCCATAAGTCACTACTATTGCTGTTTTTCTTTTCATATCGCGATTGGCAACATTCCACGCCTTCACCGTGTACGCCGATCAAAATACTTGTCATAGACGCTCGCAAGCTCGTAACGTAGAGGTCATAGATAGGCGGGAGTCTTCCACGATAATCGGGGGACGTGTGCGAGAATCGATGTGGTAATTCGCTAAGCGAAGCGTCGTGTAGTCGGAGACGCTAAACAATGGGCGGGCGTACATTGTGCGGGCTTTGTGCATCGTGGTATCGCTCCATCGCACTGGCACATTCCGTATAATGCCGTACACGCGTCCGACATGCCACGCCAATGAAAGCTTATCTCATGCTACCAGTTTTCCTCTTTAAAACCCTATTCTAAAGGAAACTTTGTAGCAGAACACCCAAACAAAAAAAACCTAAACGTATTAAACAGTATAAAGTAAGAATAGAATGCACTCGAGTCCCGCTACACAGTTTACATAGACGCGCTCTAAAGTCGTCTGCCTGCCACTAAAGCTTGCCAATAGGACCGCACACAAACGGGCGGCTCGAGAAAACTTTAAATAATCCCCCAGAGAATGTGCGATAGTGCAGCGCGTCTCCGCAGCATTAATCCGCACGATAAAAAGCATCTGAGCGGCGGACGCTGCTTATACTGTTGACCGTCGATGGAGCGTCCAGATATTTAACGGAGAGGACGAAAAAGTAAACAAGGACTTTGTGGAGACGAGCCGTCTCTTTGAGGCAGCGGCCCATCGTCCACCTAATCGTGTAAAGCGAAAACTCCGGTCTTTCATTTTTGAAACTCGTATCGTTATTTACTGTAGCCTTGAACAAATTGTTGTTTCGGGTGATTGTTTTATTGCGAACATAGGTCGTTTTCTTTGTTATGCATTCTCTAAATTACGCTTAGTAATTGAAACTATAAGAAATTATAAAGTTCCTGAACCTCGTCATATTAAATTCTTTAAATGATTGTGTAGAATTCATAGAAAACTCGTGATGTTTATTGATAGACAAAATATTTCAGCAATAATAATCAGCATACTTATCCGAATTAATTATGATTAAGTTGATTATTTTAATCCGTCTCGGTAATCACGTCCCTCGATTTTCCCAAAATTGTCTTTTCTACTGAAATTCAATTATTAAAATTTTAGTCACTTTAAAATTTTAATAAACAAGGAATTAATAATTTTCATTAGAAATTGCTGTATTGTTTTAATTTGAAGTGCATTTCAGTGAATCACGCAAAAAATGCGTCAAGGTTTCCCAAATGTCATAGACACAAAGAATGCCATTCCATAAATATCATTTCCGTGTCTTCTATTATTTGAAGGTTACATTGGTAGTGCACATAGCGAAAGTCTAGCAATCTGGCAACTAGACGATACGCAAACACGAAAATCCCGTTAATCGCGGCGTTCTCGCATGGCGAATGTTCGCAACTCACGCGAAACTTGTCACGGGCGTAATCGAGGTCTGATCAAACAACCCGCGACTCGCCTGTGCCACCCGCATCGCCGGCTCCCTTCGTCGCGAACGTCTCCCATGATTAAGCCTTCAATTACGCGATATGACGAGGGGGTCATATTTGATTAGGCTACGTGTTGTGTTGATTAAACCGAGCTTATTGCCTTATTCACTTACCTCACCCACACGCGCGATGTTCGCCAATCAACGAAGCAACGCAAAACCGGATTTCGCCGTATCTCTCTGTCGCCTCTGGCCTATCAACTGACATTAAAATGACCGTGAATCATTGACCGCACATGCCTAAAACCTAAGTTGCACACGCCATCTCAAGTCGGCGCGAGTAGGCGTGAACCGCTCATTCCCAATTCTAGGCTGTCTAAGAGGTAAAGTGACCATTTTATTGAAAACAGTAGGTGGGACAACTGCATCAATTTGCACAATGAACTGCGGTGATTATGTCATGCATTTGACACGGTCTCGGCTAAACTTGTTGTGAAATCAACCGGGTGACGTCAGCCAGACAACCATTTTATTTAGTTATTTTCGGTTTATCGCGGCTTCGTTGCTTTGGCTAACTGGTCGTGAGAACTGCGATAAAAACGATACAATTGGAATAAAAAACGTAATTAATGTGTACCATGTTTCTAGGGGCAGACCGTATTTGAAACTTTATTAATTAATTTCTTAAGAATTGACGATATCTTATCTTACTATACATATTTCATTTAAAACATAGTCTGTTATCATTTTTACATGTACGAGTTATTTCAAATAGTAACAATGGACTGAATCCAATTTATTCAGTGTGTTCATTTTATACTGCTCCGTCCATCTCCGTCATGTTTCTGTTGAAGTTGCTTAAATTTAATTTGGTTCCGAATTTGAATTTATTTCAGTCCATTGACGTCCACGGCTGAACCTTTGTCCGCTTCCACTCTCGCCAATACGGCCGAATTTGCGAATGAGGATTGACGTTTGATATTTTCGACGTCCTTATTGCCATGTGAATAAAGTCAACACGCCCGTCAAACGTCGCTTTCGAATTTCGATCGGCTTCAAGCGTAGGAGTGTCAGTTCGCCTGACCTATTCTAAACTGTAACTATCAAATAATAACATCAATATTGGAATGACTCACAACCTACCATGCGATGTGATGTGGCCTTTATTAACGGCAATATTTCCAAAAGCCTCCCGACTACCGAGATACTGTTGTTTCGAAATTTCGGATCGAAAGCTCTACCATCTAAAATAAACATTTGGTAGAGCGCCGCCACTTTCAGGAAAATTTTGACAGGTACGAGCCACTGTGACACGCTCGAACTTTGTACTTAGGTTTTAAACCAATAGGCTTGCAGGCAGACTGCAAATAACAATTTAACGATGACTTAAAATTCCAAAAGGTACTTCCACAAATTCACTTCAGCCGAAACATGGTTCTTTATGCTACAAGTTATTTAAATATTATGCAGAAATCTATATTAAGCTCTGGAGTTTATGCTAATCTGCTATGGATCATAATTCCAAGCTGTTAACGACCTAATATTATACTACTGGTTTTCCTTATTCTAATTGCATTTTCAATACTAATTTGCACATCATCTCTTGTAATCGTGCATAAATAAAGAACGACGTCATGATGTCGTACCTACTTTCCTATTTTTATCTAAACAAAATATACGTGTTTAGCCGGCGTGAAAGATTTCGAATGCTTGGCGTTATAAATAAATTTAGCGTCGTCCAACCCAAAACAAACGATACCCATTTTATCGCGTCGAGTCAAGTAATAAAAATAAATCCAATTAAACCAAAACAATGAGCGCCCCAAACAATGCAAAGCTGCATTCGAATTTCCAAAAATTTAAGTTTATCCAGTTTAGGCTTTATGCAAGCACTTGAAGTGAAAGTGTGCCGTGGGTCGGTTCAGTCTGTGAGCGTGGCCCGTGGGCAGTGCAGTGATAGATGCGCTGTCTGCCAGCGCCGGGCAACAAATAGAAGTAGGGAACCGCAGCTTCAACCCGTCCACCCACTCATTCACTTTCATCGTATCGCAAACTTTACTACCGTCTCGCTCAAAACACCAACATCGGGGACTTTATTAGAGCGCAGATGACACGATCCGATAACAACTTTAATCCCAGCGTAGAAGGATTTTGTAATCTACGCTTAGTCCAAAGTTCAGTCAAGAAATACAAATAAGACGTTACGTAACGAACACAATCCAAAATTAGCCACCAAAGTGGCACGCCGCCATCCCTGCTTCTTGGAAAGTATAAATTGCTTTCCA